TCCGTGCGCGGTCGTGGCCCACGCGGCGTGGTACGGCTCCCAGTACTCGGCCCGGTCGCAGAGCAGGTCGTCGACGCCGTACTCCAGCCGCCAGGCGACCGTCGTGTCGAGGGCCTTGGCGACGTCCCGGAGCGGCTCCGTCGGCAGCGACCGCACCATGCGCACCTTGAGGCCCTCGCCGACGAGGCGCCGCGTCGACGGCGCCAGCAGGGGCCGCACGCCGCGCCAGCGCCGCGCCTCGTCGTCGTCGAAACAGTCGCACGCGTCGTCGTCGTCCATCGCGCAGTCTTTCACCGCGCGCCCATCGGGGCAGCAAGCAGCCCTTGCGGCGCGGCGTCAACTTCAGCCAGCCGACGGTGCCTGGGGTTGTAGCTCTGCGCCGCGTGTCGTCACGCATTATGATCGTGTTGCGACGGCTCGCGCTGGCCGCGCTGGCGCTGGAGCGCGCGCATGCCTTCGGCGACGTGCGCGAGCTGAACGACGAGACCTTCGACAGCGTCGTCGACGGGTCCGCGCACGTGCTCGTGGAGTTTTACAAGCCGGATTGCGGCCACTGCCAGACCATGGAGCCCGAGTTCTACAAGACCGCCGAGGCCCTCAGTTCGAGAGCGACGTCATCCTCGCGCGCGTCGACACGGAGGAATCGCCCAAGGTCGGCAAGCGCTTCGCCATCGACGGCCACCCGATCTTCCGCTGGTTCAAGAAGGGCGGCGTCGCCGACGACAAGTTCTACTTCGTGCACTACAGCGGCCGCATGGCGAACACGTTCCTGAAGATGATCGGCGAGCGCACGGGCGGCGAGTACCCGAAGCTCGACATCGAGGTGTCCAAGGTGCGCAAGATCAAGTCCGACGACTTTGAGAGCGTCGTCCTCGACCCCGCGAGGCACACGCTCTGCGCCATGTACACGCCCTGGACGGAGTCCAAGTTCGTCGTCGAGGCCCTCGACGGCGTCGCGAAGATCGCGTCCATGGCCGGCGCGAACGTCGACGTCGTCAAGATGGGCATCGACCGCGTCTACGAGCGCGACGTCGCCGACAAGTACGACTGCAAGGGCTACCCGTGCTACTTCCTCTTCAAGGCCGGCGCGCCGGCCGACGCGACGCCCGTGCGCTACGAGGGCGCCGACGACGAGGTCGAGCGCTTCGTCGAGTTCGTCAACAAGGAGACGGGGCTGGACCTCGATCCCCTGGCGACGACGCGCAAGGTCGAGATCGGCCGCGTCGCCAAGCTCGACGCGCTCCTCGGCGGCGACGACGCCGCGGCGACGCTCGAGGCCGCCGCCGCCTACCTCCCGGCGGACCAGGAGGCCTACGGCGCCTACTACGTCAAGGTCGCGAAGAAGCTGGCGGACGGCGAGGCGCCGTCGTACCTCGCGGACGAGATCGCGCGCATCGCCAAGCTCCTCAAGGACACGAGCCTGTCCTCGGCGAAGCGGAAGGACTTCTCCGCGCGCAAGAACATCCTCAACGCCTTCGCCGTCGCCGCGACGGCCGCCAAGGCCCACGGCGGGGAGCTCTGAGGGCGGTTTTGGTTTTTTAATGCGCGCTTCAGGTTAGCTTAGTAGAAAAGCAGAAGCGTCTCGCCTTCGGCTTTGAGCGCGGCGCGCTCCGCGTCGATGGCTTCGAGAAAGCGCTGGCGCATCGGACTCTCCCAGGTCTCCGTCATCCACTCCATGTCCTCTTTCGGAGCCACGATGAGCCCCTCGACGGTCGCAGCGCCCGCGCCAGGTTCGACGTACGTGCACGCTTCCCTGACGGCCTGCTTGGACGTCACACCCTGCTGGTGCAGCCATTGCTCGAGGTCGCGTCCGACGACGACTCCATCGCGCATGACGACTCGAACGCGCACGGCCCGGCACTCGGCGCGATGCCCGCTGCGCCAATGGGCCTTCTGGCAATCGCGCGAACAGT